CTACTTCTTCAGCCAATCGCTCAGACAAACAAGTTTGTTTACATTTGCAGAAGATAATGCTGCCTGCTTCTTGTTTGTCACCTGAAAGTGAGAACAGGCGTTTGCATGGTACTACTGTAGCCGTTGTTGCAAGATATATACATGCCAGATGTGCTAAAAATTCATATATTCCTTGATGCTTCAATTACCATTCCAGAGGACATGCATCCATGCTGATGACAGGATCTGCTCGATAATGATCAAAAGCAGTGCGGACTGACACATGTTCATTTTCATCATCTGAGTCAGATACCACCAGCAGAAGGTTGATGGGTTTTTTTTTTGGGTGGTGGTGGTTTGGATTCTGTAGTTTCCACATCAGTGTTGCTCTTTGAAGACTTCTGAAAGCATGCTCCACACCTCATCCCTGTCAGATTTTGGAAGGCACTTCAGATTCTTAAATCTTGGGTTGAGTGCTGTAGCTATCTTTAGAAATTTCACATTGGTACCTTCTTTGCATTTTGTCAAATCTGCAGTGAAAGTGTTCTTAAAATGAACAACATGTGCTGGGTCTGCTATAACATGAAATATATGGCAGAATGCAGGTAAAACAGAGCACGAGACATACAATTCTCCCCCAAGATGTTCAGTCACAAATTTAAGTAATGCATTATTTTTTAACAAGCGTCATCGGCATGAAAGCGTATCCTCTGGAACAATGGCCGAAGCATGAAGAGGAATATGAATCTTTAGCACATCTAGCACGTAAATATCTTGTGGTGATGCCAGCTACAACAGTATCATGCGAATGCCTGTTCTTACTTTCAGGAGACATTGTAGTGACGTTATTGATATGAACTGTGACCATATAGATCATTGTTGCAACCAAAGACCTATAGTTGATACAAATCTTGTACAAAGGAAGTCAAGAAAGGTGTCTATGGAAAGGTTGTAATTTGCGGGTTATGATTATGCTATCTGTATGCGTGTATCGTATTTGAAGTTATGTATATTGGCTATCTACTTGTATCTCAATGTGTTTGATTCTAAGTAGCATCAATGAAGCATTTGGTCAGCTTCTTGAGAAAGGACTATTCTGACTAAGTTCCCATTCAAGGAACACTTAGCTGACAATGGACTTTTGGAGTTGCCAATCCACATCTGACCTTTCCTGGGAACGTTCAAACTAACATGTAAACTATGGCGTCAGCTTGCAAAAAGCTGAATAATTAATGGACATATGACATGCCCAGGTGGCTACAAACTCCATCTTGTTGCTGTGATTTTGCACAGAAGAACAAAGGAATTTCTGCTCACGAGAGAGAGAAATATAAAAGGATCTGGAAGCCCCTCCATTTTGTCTTCAGCTGACCCAAGAGATGGCCTCTCCACCCTAAAGAGATGCCTGAAAGAAACCGGGACAAAGGACTGTAACTACAGGGGTGTGAGTGATTGATGGACTAAGGCCATAAACCACAACGTTGGTCTGAAAAGGATTGGGCCCAGACTAAGAAGGAGTCTAGTGTGTGAAAGAAGCTTATTGGGACATCGCTGAGGGTCAGATTTACATTTATTCAGTTTCCTACTGTATTAGGCTTAGACTAGCATGTTTTGTTTTATTTTGCTTGGTAACTTACTTTGTCTGTTATTACTTGGAACCACTTAAATCCTACTTTTTTATATTTAATACAATCACTTTTGCTTATTAATTAACCCAGAGTACATGAGTAATACCTGGGGGAGCAAACAGCTGTGCATATCTCTCTATCAGTGTTATAGAGGGCGGACAATTTATGAGTTTACCCTGTATAAGCTTTATACACAGTAAAATGGATTCATTTGGGGCTTAGGCTCCCAGAAAGATTGGGTGCTGGGAAAGTCCCTGTTAACTGAGAAGCCCCTGGGCTAAGTGAATCTTAGTTTTTGTGAACTGCAGGGGGACGTGACCCAACCTCTTGGTCTGTGCTGTATCTGGCTGGAATGTCTAGCTCAGCAAGACAGGCGTGGAGGGAAGCCTTCTCTGGCAGGAGGTTTGTTCTCAGTGGTATCCCAGCACATCTAGTGACAGTCTTGAGGGAGTTTGTGACCAAACCTGTCACAATTGTAATTACGAAGTGGGCAGCATTATCTCCCGTAAATGTAAACAAACTTGTTTCTCTTAGTGATTGGCTGAACAAGAAGTAGGACTGAATGGACGTGTAAGCTCTAAAGTTTTACATTGTTTTGTTTTTGAGTGCAGTTATGTAACCAAAAAACCTACATATGTTAGTTGCACTTTCATGATAGAGATTGCACTATAGTACTTGTATGAGGTGAACTGAAAAATACTTTCATTTATTTGTGCAAATATATTTTGTTTATTTGTAATAAAAATAATATAAAGTGAGCACTGTACACTTTGTATTCTGTGTTATAATTGAAATTGATATATTTGAAAATGTAGAAAAACATCCAAAATATTTAATAAATTTCAATTGGTATGTTATTGTTTAACACTGCGATTAATCACAATTACTTTTTTTAATTGCGATTAATTTTTCTGAGTTAATCACGTGACTTAACTGCGATCAATTGACAGCCTTCATAACTATAGAAAAATGTTAGGAAAATCATGTTTTACTGATTATGAGACATTTTGAGCTGCTCTGTAACAATGTATTAGTAATGTATGTTTGTTGACCTGGTTATTGGGTTGTTAGCTGTCTCTTGAATTAACCTCAGTATAGTCTGTCATCTGGGAAAACAGGCACAAAGGAAAAGAATGGTTCAATATAGCCATGTCAGCAAACATTTGAGAGTTGTTATGGCACAATACCAAAACAACTGGCTTGATCTCCAGCTGAGCCTACAGGACTGGATTTGACTAGAAGGGTCAAAGCTTGGGAATGCAGAAGAATCACAGAAGTATAACAGGGCAAAAGGGACTTTCTCTTAAGTGTGTGTGTGTGTGTGTGTGTGTGTGTGTGTGTGTGTGTGTGTGGTAGCCAGGTGCCCAGTTTTGGGCTGGAAAGTCCAGTTGAAAAGGGGAACTGACAGTGTCTGGTCACATCTACTGCCCGGAAACCCAAAGTCTGCTTACTGCAAACAGAGGAGGTGCCAAGTCATCACCTGCTCCAGCCCCTACTCAGCTGGGGCTGCCTCATACTTTTGTTGGGCAGCTCCTAGCCCCAGCTCCGCAGGCAAATCCCTCCTACTGCAAGATAAACAATATTTTGGTTTAAGAAGGCAGACTGATCACTATATTTACTACTGGTCAGACTCCCACAGGGAACAACGGCAGATGCCCATATTCATCTGGATCTGCTAGGAAAGAATGGCTGATACCCTGGGTACCATAGCACAAGACCCAGTCTAGGTGGAATTTTGCAATTCATCCACTCTGAGGAGAGGTAAAGAATGAGGTCTCTCACCTGACAGGGGTGCACTTAGAGACTAGACGGGGACAGAGGTGCTGCTAGCCCTGTACCACTGACCACTCTACAAACCAAACACTATTTTGCAATATAGCCAGTTCCTAACTGTGCCAGACAACTGTCCACTGGCCGGGTTAAATATGTAGACTGAGATTTTCAATGGTACCCAGCAGAGGTGGTAGGTTTGTATAATTTTTGGTGGTGCCCAGAACAGGTCCAAGTCCCCTCTCCACCTGCCTTGTAAGCCGATATATATTTTTTAAAATAATGTAAAAATGCAAGGGCTCTGGGGTGGGGCTGGGGATGAGGGGTTTGGTGTGTGGGAGGGGCTTGGGCAGAGGGTTGAGATGCAGGGGTGAGGGCTGTGGGGTGGGGCCTGAGATGAGGGGTTCACAGTGCAAGAGAGGGGCTTAGGCTGGGGCAGAGGATTGGGATGTGTGTGGGGGATGAGGGCTGGGGGTGTGGGCTCTGGGGTGGGGCCAGGGATGAGGAGTTTGGGGTGCAGGCAGGCTGCCCCTAGTGGGGTCAGAGAGGACTCCCTCACAGCTCGCTCCTCCCTGGCAACACACTCACCTCACACCACTGTCATTGCATGTGCTCCTAGGGTGCCTCTCAGGTCCAGGAAGCCCCCTCACCTCCCCTGTGGTGGGTGTGGAGTGGGGGGCTGCCATCACGTGTGCACCTCCTCCCCTGCTGCTGCCCCTCACTGGAGTGGGGGATGGGACTGCCCCTTGCCCAGCATGGGGCAGGAGCAGTGACTGTGCTGGTGGAGGGTCCTGCCGGAAAAGGGAAGGGTCCGTCCGAGGCGGAAGGATGGGGTCCGGGTCAGTCTGCCCTGGCGCTAGTGGTTAGGAGGTGCTAGGACTCTGTGGCAGCAGTTGATGGCAGGAGTTGGCAGAGCAGAGTGCAGCATGGAGCTGCAGGGGGCAGCTTCCCGCTGCCCAGGGATGCTCAGAGGAAGCATGTGGGGGTGGTAGGCAGGGCTGGGGGAGAGACCTGGCCCTGAACATTGGTGGAGCATGGGCAGCATGGGCCCATATAGCTCGCCACCCCTGCTACCCAGGGAATTTGCATGCCCAATGTCCATTAATTTGAAGGAGATTTGGCTTGGAAATCTCTCATACAGTATTGAAAATTTCAGCCATAGTGTAGATGAGCCTTTAGGTAAATATGTTAGGATCTGTCTTGTGCTGTGCTAATACATAAGGCAGGGTGGAAAAGGGTGAGGGGAACTTTTTCACACTATGCAGGCAATAGAGTAGGATATTTCCATAATACACAGACATGCACGATGAGAGAGCGGATAGTCTGGTTAACAACATGCCAGCCAGCAAAGCACACACCTAAGGTAGTACTGGGTTGAAGCTTGGGTGCATGCTTAGCCAGCTAGCCTATATTTTGCCATCAGCAGAAAGTGATGCCCAGCAGAGCGCGGGCACGCATGCTGCTTCGGCTCCGAACAGTGAAGCACGCACCACAGCAGCTGCCTCTGACCCGCGCTGTGCACCGACAGGGATTTGCGGGGCAGTGCAAAATAACTGGGCTGGGGCCACCTCACGTTTTGACTGACTTTCCCAGTAGGGGCCTCTGCCCCCTCGGATTCACACGAGAGGCACTAACGAAGAGAAGCAGCGCCCCTTTCTCCTCCGCCCCACCTAGGCAGGAGGACAGGGCGCCAAGGCGGGCACAGGAGAAGAGCCCGGCGGGGTAGGCGGCCCGGAGCGGCTGAGTGCATTATTCCCCCCGGCGCCGGGAGGGAGGCTGTGGCGGCGCCGCCCTCTGGAGAGAGCGAGCCGGCGAGAGGCTGGTGCGAAGAGCAGCATCTCAATGAGGGACGGGCTAATGCAAATCGCCGCAATCACCAGCAGACAGTAGAAGAAAGGCGAAGCAGCTGCCGCCCAGCCTCACCAGCAGCACCGGCCAGCCGGGGGGCCAGAAGACACATAACAAAAGGCATCCAAGCTGCTCTCTGCGACCACAGTTGCAATCAAAGCAGGGTGGTAGGGCGGGGGAGTTGTTGATCGGAGCGCTTTCAGCTGAAACCCAGCACCCCCTTCACAACCTGCCTACTTAGGTTTGGGGGCAAAGGCGCTTCCAACCCCCCAGCCCCCAAGAAATAGGTAAGTGTTTTAATCTACCAAACCAAAGGCGGTTCCTCTTACAATTTCCATGCCGGCTAGTGCTGGGGTGAGCCCCGCCAAGCTTTTCCCGGAACGTTGTAATGTACATTTCTAGCCACCCTACTGCGTGTGTGCACCTGCCCCTTTTGTCTGGGTCTCCGCTTTTGGGGGGTAGCTGAATTTGAGGGCAGGATGGTGGCTAGGCTCTATGTTGCTCCCGCTTTCCCTTGCTGTAGTTGGTGCTGCGTAGTTTGCCCCCCCCCCCCTTTTTTTTTTTGGCTGTGTGGTAGAGATTGTGAGGAGGATCCTCTCTCTGTTTGAGAAATGGTCTGACATTGGGTGGCAGATTCTGCTGTGGAGCAAACCAGCTATATGAATACCATGCTCCGCTTTTTTTTCTCTCTCTCTTTTTTTAAGAGGTGGCTAACTAAGTATTCACCGACTCTATATTCTGCTTTAAATTCCATTTTGTTCATTTATAGTGCACCTTGCTGCTTTGCTCTGGCGATTTTTCTCTCTGATTTTGGAGAAGCCAATTATGTAATTATACCTGCAGTGTTGAAAACGTGCAGACAGTTAAGGAAAATGTATTTTTCTCTCTTAGCATGGGGCCAAATCATGCCATCAGTTTTTAAGCAGAGCTTCCTGTTTAAAAACTGATGGCACAATATGGCCCGTGAATAGAGGGTTCAGCTGGCTTAGTTGCATTTCAAACACGTTTTGTGCCACCCCAGAAGAATAAATCTTTTTTGAAACCATTATGACCTACATCAGATTGAATTGAGGAAATTGTTAGAAAATCCACGCTGTTTCAGTCTTTATTCAATAATCTTTATTTTATCAGTGTATGTATTTGGGTCTGGGTGATTGTTTTATGTAATAACCCACTCACACCTACTCTGTGTGTGTGTGTGTGTGTACTCACCTCTGTATCTGCCTCTAATAGATGTGTGTGGTATGAACTGTGGGGCCTGTGCCTTTTATATAGTAACATCTGATCAAATAATTGTCTAGAATTTCATTGGCTTAGTCTGGCCTTCTGATGTGAACACATTGGAGTGTGAATGGCAGGAGCACATTGTTCTAGGGAGAATCTTATTTCCCTTTTAAAGGGGTTTAATTGGAGGCAAAAATCATTTGTGAAAGTAGTATGGATCATTCCTCATATCATCTCTTAGTAAGACCTAAGATTACTAAAAATGAACATTTTGAGATGTTTCTTTTACAGGGAAGGTGTGTTTTTTCTTTTTTCTTTAATTTGACTTGGTTTGGATAATGAAACCACAGTAGACATTGGGGGGTTTTGGGTTGTTTTTTTGTTCTCATCAGTTTCACTTCCAAAGTGCGGTCTTTGGATTGCAAGGGAATGTTTACATCCCAATAAATGGCTTTATTGGAATAATAACTATAAAACCCCCCACACATTGAAACACGGTGTTAATCTTGGGCCTATATTGACCTGACAATGCCCCTTTAAATAATGTGACCGTGAAGTGCTGGTCCAGAGAGAACTGTTCTTTTCTTTGAAATGAAGTTTTGTCAGGGTGGGGGCAGGGGTTGGCCTAGAAAGGTGTTTTCCAGGGGTGGGGGGAGGAAGGGTGGCTGGGTGTGTGGGTTTTTTCTTTTTTTTTTTTTTAGTTACAGCAAATCTTCATATGCAGATACAAGGCAAAGTATGTAAATATACCCAGGATCCCATGTTTGGATAATAAAATGAGTCAAGTTCTCACTAAATTGGAATAAATAACCTCCACGAAGATCCTGATCTTGCATTGGCTTTTGTACATGTTTAGTTTAAGCATGTGAATAGTCCTATGAATTTGGGAGGGACTACTCACATGCTTGAGAGTTGGGCACTGTGGCACACTATTCACTTTAACATATACCTGTATAAACAAAATGGTATCAGTCCATCTCTCTGTCATATTGAACTATTTCTCTGTTATTGATTTGTTTTGTAACTGTCATTTAATGATTAGTGGTAATGAAGCTGGGTCTCTCTCTCTTTTTTTTTCTTTTTCTTCTTCTTCCCCCTTTTTATTGGAAATCAGTGAGAGAGTGCCCTTCTAAATTAGGTCTGTGAATCTGTGCTATAAATAAATGTACTGTGCTTTGCTGTTCTGCAGACAAATCTAGGTGGCTCTTAAAACTAAATGAGACTAGTCTATTTGTTTAAAATAACAAACCAAACAAAATTGAAGGATTTATTTATATAGAGATGAAGACTGACATAACAGTTGTAGTAACATATGTTTTATGTTTTTCACAAGATTAGTTCAGGATTTTTTTAAATACACATACCTTGAAAAAGGGAAGTGAGTGCTACACATTCCCTTACATATAAATAAAATGGCTTAGATCTTCACGGTATGTGCTATATTAAAAAGTTGGAAACATTCAATTAAGAACCCAGTCATCCTGGAGCCTTATTTGTGGTTGTCTCAGGTGTCTGGCATCAGTTGCTAATTCATTTGATGACTTGAGAAACATTAATCAGTCAGTGATTTATACCAATTGGAGTTACAGATTTTTCACCAGGAAAAACTATCCGGGATGACAAATTCTGAACACTGGTAAAGGATATTTACTGCTTTGCTCCTTTATTGTATATTCTGTAAGATAGTTTGCTCAGTGGATGATGTTAGTTTCAGGAGCTCCTACTAACCATGTCTGTCTGTTCTGTGGTAATTGAGTGCCTCCACCTGTTCAGTGTGTGTGCTAAAGGTTTGGGAGTGGTGTTAACTCCAATCAGTCTAGTGTAGAACATGGGGTGAGGTAAGATGTAATGGCTGTCTGGAGCAAGACTTTGTCATCTGTGAAAATGACCAATACAGCCAACTCACTTGTATTAATAGTCCTGATTTCTATTGCCAACCCACATGACTGCTTCCTCTGAAATGTTCTTAATTGGTTGTCACACATTGGTTGTCAGTAAATATAATCCACTAAGTGGCAACTTCTTTGTGGTCAGACTTGGAATGAGCAATGCTGAGAGCATGAGTGAGTTGGTTGTGTCACTTTTAATAGGATTGGAAGATTCACTTGGATGCAAGACTAGCGAAAACCAGTTCAGCTGCACTTCTTCCCACTAGCTCAACTTTGTACCATATATTCATGTCACATAGGCATCGTGTCTCTCCTTAGTTTTTGATCTAAACCTTTTTTTGTGCGGTGGTGATGGTTGCTTCTTGGTATAGTATAAAAATGGCAGCTAGGTTACAGAGTCTACTTTCTGGTGAACATGTTTTTTTCAACGTGCTGTATGGTTAGGGTTTTAAAAAAATGTAGCAGGGTTTAATTGTCAGAGGGGTAGCCGTGTTAGTCTGAATCTGTAAAAAGCAACAGAGGGTCCTGTGGCACCTTTAAGACTAACAGAAGTATTGGGAGCATAAGCTTTCGTGGGTAAGAACCTCACTTCTTCAGATGCAAGATTGAGATGCAGGGTTTAATTGACTAATCTTGATCACTCTACAGGAGAGCCTCCTATAGTGTTTTATTTGTACACTGAATTCTTATGAGTTCTAAACAGAGTTCTAAAAATACTTTATCCATTGAATTCTTTCTCTTTCTCACCCCAGATTTACATCAAAGATGTCCTTTGGAAGAGACATGGAGCTGGAACACTTTGATGAGCGTGATAAAGCACAGCGATATGGCAGAGGGTCACGGGTAAATGGTCTGCCTAGCCCTACCCACAGTGCCCACTGCAGCTTTTACCGAACCCGCACTCTACAAACCCTCAGTTCTGAGAAAAAAGCCAAGAAAGTTCGTTTCTATCGCAACGGAGACCGGTATTTCAAAGGGATTGTCTATGCCATCTCCCCCGACCGGTTTAGATCTTTTGAGGCCCTGTTGGCTGATCTGACCCGAACTCTGTCTGATAATGTGAATCTGCCCCAGGGAGTGAGAACAATCTACACCATTGATGGTGCCAAGAAGATTTCCACCTTGGACCAGCTAGTGGAAGGTGAATATTTAAGAGAGGCAGGGTGTAAAGTTCCTGTCTGTATCACTACTTTACTTTACCACTGTTATATTTGCATATATATGCATGCCTAATATTTCAAATATGCTAGAGCGTCTTCATGACTGTACTCCTCATATTTGTGGAAAGTTATAGTATTGTGACTCAGGGCTTGTCTATACTTACGCGCTGGTTCGGCGGCAGGCAATCGAACTTCTGGGTTCGATTTATCGCGTCTTGTCTGGACGCGATAAATCGAACTCAGAAGTGCTCCCCGTCTACTCCGGTAATCCTGCTCACCACGAGGAGTACGCAGAGTCAATGGGGGAGCCTGCCTGCCGGGTCTGGACCGCGGTAAGTTCGAACTAAGGTACGTCGACTTCAGCTACGTTATTCACGTAGCTGAAGTTGCATACCTTAGTTCGATTTGGGGGTTTAGTGTAGACCAAGCCTCAAATTATCACATAGGCTTTTCTTTTCCCATGGGAGAGAATGTACATCTCAATCATAGCTTGAAAAGCATATGCTGTCTACTTGCACTTAGGAGGAAGCTATTTGTCTCCTTTCAGGACCATGGGTTCTGTAGTCCTTTCTGAAAGTGGTGACCTTATCCCTTTCTCCTCCCTTCATGGTAGCCCTCCTAAATTTCAGAGCTCTCTTATTCTGACAGGTCCCAATTTCATGTTAAAACCTTGCCAAAGGGTTGTAAACTAAACTAGATGAAGCCAATGGTACCCTTATTTATCTACTTGTTACAACAGCAGATGTCCTCAGTGATACTAAAGGCCAGTACTGATGGGGTTTAAAGAATTTCTCTCACTTCATAGTGAAGACCTCTAGTTGTTCCTCTCCAATAAATGTCTTGCCTCGTGACTAGAGAGTACTCCAGTTATTTAACAGGAGTAAAAGTAGGCTCTGTGATAAAGGCTAATATCACTCTTCAGCTCAGTCAGGGCCCATTGTCTGAACCATAAATTGCCATTTTATTTCTCCTTGCAATGCAGTGGTGATATCAAACCCATCAGTGGTGGAATACACATTGTTCCCTAGTGCTAGGGAAACCTAGTGTCTAACTTTCTTCCTAGTCAAGTGGAATGGAGCTCCAGGTATAGTTCTGGAGTGTACTAGCTTTACAGAGGAAAGGATAAAACATAATTTAATCCCCAAACATAGTAACATGAGAGACCTGCTGTCAGCCCAGCCCGTGGCCTTAACTGTGTGAATGTATTTTAGCAAAACTTAAAGATATATCTTCGCCTATGTGGGTAGGAGGGAAGAAGAGTCCTCCATATATATGTGTGTGTGTGTATGTGTATATATATATATATATATATATATATATATATATATACACACACACA